TGGTTTTCGCGTCTTCATAAACCAAAAAATTCAAATTTTAAAAACCAAATTTTGGTTACTATTTTAACCCTAAACTTCTAATTCTATAACATTTAAGCCCCTTTTGTTGTTTTAGTTGAAGTTAAGTATGCCACGTTAGAAACTCTAACTGAAAGAAAAATCAAAAATATTTTCATGTCCATTTTCTCATTTGGAAACTTATTTGAACATATATAATACAAAAAAATGACAAAAAACCTGTTAATATTTACCTACATTTCCCATGGAAAGTCGAACACATTGTAAGTGCACATCTTATCCTTCTCCACATATGGGTGGTGTTTTATCGCCATATCTTTCTCTCAGAAGGAATCAATTGTTAACTAGAATGATAACCTTTCCCATAGATAAGAATTAAAGAATTCTAAGTTACTTGCAAACTGCACCCAATCAAGGTAAACAGTCTTCGTTGAGCCAGCAGCCATAAGAATAGAATGTACAAACCGTATCAAATAGATTTTAAACTTCTCCAGAGAAGTATAATTATTGACTTCTGCATCCAACCTCTCCTCTAAATCACGCATCAAAAGAGACTGTTGTCCCTAGAGAACCTTCCTAAGAAATTTTTTTGCTGCCTTGTTCTTCTTGGCCCTCTCTTCTATTACTGGTTTTGCAAATGGCCCAAAATTAAGGCCTATAAAAAAAAAAAAAAAAAAATTCCTTCATCCCAAAACGTAGTGGCTTTCCGTCTACCACAAACCACATTTCATTTCTCTTTTAGCATCTAAGTGAGTGTAGCAACAAATAATGTGCATCTTGCCCCCAAAAGCCCTTATTCTAATTTTCACCTAAATCCATAAAATGATCAAAACAACTACTTTTGAACTGATCCATACCTTTGTTGTAGTCACCTAGGACCTCCTTAATGTTCCAAAAGACTTGCCAACTAGACCTTATCTTAACCCTTCCAGAGAAGTACGATACACATCCATAACAGCCCGAAGGCCATATTCCTTAATATTTATGCTCTTTAAACACTACAGAATAGATAGTTGTTGAACATAAATATAATACAATATTTAAAACATTCATTTGACATTTTACTTGTTCTTCCTCTTCTTCCACCTCCTGGCCGGACTTTTCATCAATGTCATCAACTTCTGCTACATTCGTTGGCGGGCTTGGTTTCTTGTGGGTGCTTACGTCTCCTCCTCTGTCGGCGGGGTGTTCTCTTTGCTCTTTTCAGTCATCGAAACTTGCTCCATTGCAACGTCTTCTTCTCAATTTTTGGAAGACACATTGGTTGCTACTATCTTGAGAATGGCTAGGTTTGTGTGCATTTCTTAGTTAATCTTCGACATTGCACCAACTGGCGAATAAGGAAAGGGACGAGGGAAGCTTGAGAGAGGGAACCTTGAGAAAGGAATGATGGACGGAGAAAAAGAGAAGAAATTTCGGCGGTGAAAGACAGTGTAGTGTTTCAGGCGTGAAGAAGAAAGCAAATGTGGGGAGTCACGTGGTTTTCGTGTCTTCATAAACCAAACAATTCAATTTTTAGAACCCAATTTTTGTTATTTTTTTAACCCCAAACTTTTACTTCTATAACATTTAAGCCCCTTTTGCTGTTTTAGTTGATGTTAAGTATGCCACATCAGAAATTCCAACCGAAAGAAAAATCAAAAATATTTTCTTGTCCATTTTCTCATTTGCAAACTTGAAATGTTTGGGGAGTTTAGAGATCGGAATTTTGGCCTAGGCCCAAAAAACTAAACCCAATGACCAATCTTATAAGGCCCAGGCCAAAACCCAGTCCAGGCCCAAGGAATAAGGACCAATCCTAGGGCTGGTCCCTCCTCCAGGGTCTGAGCCTAGGACCGGTCCCAGGCCTAGGCCCAAACCCCCTCCCTAATTTCATTTAAATCCATGGCAAATATCTATAACCCCCCTATTTTATATGAAATTGATAATAAATATCGAGGTTAAAATATAATTTTACAAAAAAAATTATAAAAAATATTAAGGAATTGGACCGGTTCCTCAACAGTCAGCGCCAACAATCAACTAACCATTGAGCCAATGGTCAACTAACCGTTGAGGCAACGGTCAAATTGGGGGGAAGGTTTATTTTCTTTCAATTCCCTCCCTACCACCCAAAACCTAAACTATAAATACTCCTTTTTTCCACCCATTTTCTTCACAACTCTCAACTCTCAACTCTCAATCTCTCACTCTCTCTACTCCAATTCTCAAACTCTCTTTAATTTATATTTATATTTATTCATCTATTATTCATATTATTCAATTTTTTTCATTTTTCAATTTCATCTATTATTCGTATTATTATTTATATTATTCAATTTCTTCCCTTTTAGTTATTTATTATTTTATCATAAATTCATAATGAATTCCCCAAATTATGCATTCAGAGGATCATCATCCCCAAATCAGTATTATGTTCCAGTTTATCTATCCACCGAAGAAATAGAAAGGTTCAATCTATTTTCACCCTTTCTAAAGGCTTCAATTCTACAACCAGAAATGGTCAAGACTGTATCCAGCCAAACACAAGCGAGCTGCGACACCACGGGAAGACTATCGAAGAGGGCCGTGTCCGGGGTATGGTAATTCTTCACCAAATTAAAACGGGCAAAACCAAATGGGCATGGGGAAGAGACGTGCAGGGTATGTAATTTTTGTCCAACCATTATCGGCACTAAGCATAAGATTTCGATGATGCGACGACTTCTAGAGAAGAATCACCCCCGATATATACAGTCTGGTTCAACTTCAATTGGACCCGGTAGCAAATTCAAACTCAACTTAGTTTTAATCCACAATCCTCAACTCTCTCAACCTGGCAATACAATACACTCCATGCACGAGAGGAAATAGCAAAATACGTAGTTGTTACGGACTTTCCCCTTTCTTTATCTAAAAATCCTATTTTTGTTGATATGATTAAAACTGCTTTTTGTCCACAATATAACCTTGTTAGTAGAGGTACAGGTAGAAGGGACATACAAAAACTATATACAAAAATAAGAGATCAACTTAAAAAGAATTTGAAAATTTTAGGAATATATCTATTGCACTTACTTCAGACATATGAGCTGCTAGATCAAAAACAGATTTTTTGAGTATCACAATATATTACCTAGATGATAGTTGGCGTTTACAGCAAAAATTGATAAGTTTTAAACTATTATATGCTAAACATATTGCTGAGACTATTTATCGTATAATTATTGAAGTTTTGCAAGATTATTTATTAACTAAGAGAGTTGTGGCGCTAACGCTTGATAATATAGCTGCTAATACCGCGACAATTTCTTTATTTGAAAAGATATTTGATCTGCTTGGTGAAGGCAATTTTTTTCACCAGAGATGTGCTTACCACATTATCAATTTGATTGTTAAAACAGGTTTAGAAGTTATACGTGCGAGGATTGAAAAGGTGCGTGCGGCTATCGGATTCATCACTAGTAACAATACAAGATGGAATGAGTACATAAAATATTATCGCCAAGAGAAGTCGTCGGTTCGACCAAAGAAGTTATATTGTGACATGTCTGTCCGTTGGAACTCCACATACTTAATGTTGCAAAGAGCTATGCCAACCGCAACACAAATTACAAAGTTCGTCAACCAGAAGAACTATCCAGATGAAGTCGTCAATGATGATGATTGGACAATTTACAATATTTTTCATTCATTTCTTAAAGATTTTTACGATTTCACTGATACATTAAGTGGTATTTATTATCCTACCACTAATTTAGCATTAAATATTTTGCTTCAAATTTCTAAAACTTTTACTAAACATAGATAGAATCCATACTTAATGGATATTGTTTCAGACATGGGAACGAACTATCGGAAATGTTGGTTAGATATTTCATTCTTATATGGATTAGGCCTTATTGTAGATCATAGGTTTAGATTTAATGTATTTAATTGTATGGGTACTGAGATAGGCCAGCATTTAGGACATGACTATAATTCTTATTTGATAGACTTTAACAAAAAATTGAAAAGCATTTTTTTCTTTATATCAGACTAGGTACAATGGAACGCCCAATAGAGACGACCAGCAGGAACTTGATGAAGACATTTATCAACAAGGATCGAGCATGTGGACGTATATGAAACTTAGTAGCAGTGGTGGTGGAAGTAGCAGCTCCAGCTTGTACAGACATGGACCAAATGAGTTGCAGTAGTACTTACAAATGGACATATCCTACATGACTAAGGAGGAGAAACGCGAGATGGATCTACTTCAATGGTGGAACCAAAATGCAAGTCAATTCCCTATCATAGCCCAAATGGCAAGTGACATTTTATTTGTGCCAGTTTTGATAATTACATCCGAGTCAACATTCTCAATTAGTGGCCGCATTGTTGAAGACAGAAGATGCTCTTTAACCAATGAGATGGTTGAAGTCATAACATGTTTACAGAATTGAACTCATGCAAATATAAGACTACAGCAACACCCTAAAGATCCCGAACTACTCGACCCCTTCAAAAACATAGACTTGGACAATATAAATTAATAATTTAATAAAACAAATTTATTTAATTGTTTACTTGTTTAAGTTTAAATAAAATTTGTCCATTGTGAAATGTGAATATTATAGTTATGTCAAAATTAAATTATATTTTTAAATTAAAACCATATAAATTTCTAACCAATTGACCATTCATTTGTATTTATTTACTAATTAATTAAAAAATTTACAAATCACCTCCAAAAAATTACATAAATCCCCTACATAATTTTCAATTTAAAAAAATATAAAAAATTAAGAGGGTTACATGTAATTTTGCAAATCTGTAGGACCATAAAACCATTGGGACCGGTTCAAGCCCTGAGAATTTTCATGGGCCTAGAACCGGTCTAAACCAAATTGGGACCAGTCCTATTGGGCCCAGACCTGGGCCCAGCAGGGCCCGGGCCTTGCCCACATCAAGGGCCCGGTAGTTAAATTGTGTCGTTGAAGGTAATAACGACTTTAATTGTCTAATCCTCATAATTTAATCAACCGCCAAGGGTTTATACTCAGTTTCTTCAGATATGGAAGGAGATGGTAAAAGGGAGCACATGGACATGGACTCTCCAACCAATTCTCAGCAAACTAGTAATATGCTCATTCCTTTTTGTTTCTAGAAATTATTTTTTAAGTTGATAAAGAATAGATATAATCATGGTGTTTAATTTTGTAGTTTCTGATGACGATGAAATAGACTACTCAGTGAAGCCAGAATTTTATGACTCGGGTGCTGATGATAAAGATGAATTATGGGTTCAAAAGCAAAGAACGGGTCGTGATTCTGATGCTGTTCTTAGTTGCCCAGCTTGTTTCACCACTCTCTGCCTTCAGTGCCAAAGGTATGGATGTTTTGTTGATGTGATTGCAACTTATTGATGCTCTCAATGTTGGTTGGCTCTGTTTGTGCTTGTGAAAATAACGCAGTCATAATTGGCCATTTGGGTCTTGCTCTATTATTATGTATTTAGTGGAAATGAGTAAAATTTCAAGCATTATATACTAAATCTAGTATATGCAGCAGTCTTTCAGAGAGGAAGGATCGTTTAGTGGTAGAGGTAGAGGGGTGGGGAGAAAAGGATTTTTGGTGGGGGAATATCTGATGTTATATCATGCATTAAGTACTTCACCACCATCCATAAGCTTCATAGTGCTTATTTTCGAGGACAATATCTGTGGGTTTAGCCCCCGGCTAGTCACATAATTTGGTTTAATTACTCACACATTTAATTCACATGTAAAGTGTTAGAAGTAAGTAATAAATTATTTCTTTTTCTCTTACAAATAACCATGCCATGTCATGGAAGCAATATATATTGAAGCTATTTTGTTGACAATAGTTGCCCTCATTAGATATGTAACCACTGTTATACAAGATACTAGAACTTATGCTAGAACTTATGCTTTCTTACCTGATTGGACTTAGCATAGTCAGTGGTATTGGTTTTTATCGCTTTGTCTTGGCAGTAACCCTTTTTTGTATCAAAAATGCTATGTTTCTGTAATCCATCAAAGTTCATATTCATTTCAGAACTTGTTTGTGTGATCTTGTGAATTCCTGTAGATGGCACAATTTGTTAGTACAAAACAGTAACACACAGGAGAAAGAAGTAGGAGATTGATAGCTTTTCACTTTGAGTATTAAACCATTTATAAAATCCGTATCCAAAATGCTTAGAGAGCAAGGTAAATAGAATGAAAGAACCTAATTTGTTTGAAATATGAAAAGTGGCATTGATATAAATTTGGAGAGTTTTTGAGTGAGTGTTTACTGAATCAGCATCCAACAGTCCAAGTTTCACAACGCCTGTCAACAAAAAATTACTGCTTGTTGAAGCATCACTGTTGCACAGTCTTTGATGAACAGTTATTGCAATGTAATATAGTAAATTATAGAAAAGAATCGTGCAAATTTTTACTACCAGCCAACCATGAATGCATTTATCTATTTCAGGAATCAGGGGTTTGAAAGCAGTATCCAGCACACCACTACTGATTATGCACTGGTGCTGTGTCCATATGGAAGCTACATCATAGGATTGCACTTTTTTTTTTTTTTTTTTTTTCTTGTGATGTTTGATTATTATATTTCGTTTCACTTATTTGGTTTTTGCATCCTATTTGAGGAAGTTATGTTCAAGAACACGGTTTTTCCCCTAAGAAACATAGTACCAGGTTCCAAATCATGACTTCGTTTAGATTATTTGGAATAAAGAACAAGCAGTTCTGCACTTTGATTATGATATATTGAGATGCCTTTTTTTTTTTTTTTTTTTTTGCACTTATTGTAACTAAGAGTGATTGCATTCTTGTAGGCATGAAAAATATGTGACTCAGTACAGGGCAGTTTTTGTTGTTAACTGCGAGATTGGAAGTGGCCAAGTACAGCCAATTACTCCAAAACCGAAACGAGGCAAAAGAGGAAGAGAATCTAATGAGAGTGAAGCGAATCCTTCTTCTGATGAAACATTCAAACCAGTTTTCTGCTCAGTATGCTCAACGCATGTGGGTGTGATTGATGAAGAAGAGGTTTATCATTTTTTCAATGTTCTTCCAAGTGAGTCTTGATCTGTTTAGTGGTCTTAGCCATGCGGAGGAAGAGTTTTGTTGTTCCCCTTCTGTTAACACTAGGAATTTCTTTGTTACATGATATTGTTGAATCAATAAACAATAATATACTTAACTATTAGATTGTATTTTAGAATGAATGTCATTGATCTCCCATGAGATTTTGATAGATAAAGGTAAATGGGAAGAGGGTGTGTTTTTTTTTTTTTTTTTTTTTTTTTTGGGTATGGTAATTGGTGGCCACCCTTTGCCCTTGCTACAACTTGAACCCAAGATTCCGTGATCTTTTAACTCCTCAATCCATCCTTCACTCTATCAGGCCATAAGGGGTGAGGCTTCTGCAAATAAGCCCCGACCAAGTTCAGTGAAGCCATTTAAAGCTGTATAAACGTTTGGGGGCAGTAAGTTAGATGAGTTTAGGAATGAAAAGAAGAACTGAAAAACAATTTTTGTAGTGGTTGAACCAAAACATTTGTCGAAAATGTTGTTATAAAATGAGTTGATTGATATTGATGAAAATTATCTGGAATAGGAATTACATGAGCAAGTTGTCCGAATGATTAGGATATGGATATATTTAGATTACAGTAGGTAAAAGATGCCAAATGATTAAGAAAAAGGTCAAGTGTGAAATGTTAATTGGTGGAAAAAAGAAGAAAATCTATTGGCGTTAGGCTTAGAATCAAAAGAAAATTGGTTCTATTTGGTTGTCTCTTTCATCAATAATTCCAAAAACAGTTGGAGTTGGGGTCCAGCTGTTTGACAACCTTCAATTCAAATTATGTCTCCTTTTCTATCACCACCTTAATTGCTTATATTATATATGTACATTTATTTTATTTATTATTATAATTTATGGGGTCCTACCCTTTTACTGATATTCCATTTGGCCCCTCTCTTTCTCTCTCTATTTGCCACCCTTATTAGTAACATAGTCTCCAATGTTTGAGTCTCCTTAAGGGTAAAAGAACAAGAAGAGGATTTAACATAATCTTCTGAGTTCAATTTCCAATAATTGCTAATAGAAATAACCACTGGAGCTCGTATCCGATTTATAGTTTTAAGGTCCCAAAAGATTAATTGAGGTACCCGTAAACTATCCTAGACACCCTATTAATATAAAAAAAAATTACTACAACTCTTTTTTATTCACAAGGGTCAACTTTGGATTACTTAAACGGGTCTTGTCTCCTAGGAAGAGTAAGTGAAATCTCAATTACTTACATCAAATTGGTAACATAAAACATTAGATATGTTTATAAAATAAAATCATAAGATAAAATAAGAATCTTTAGGGGTTTCCAAAGAGAAAGAAGCATCCTTGATTTGAGGAAGTTTAGTTTAACTTATAAAACTTTGTGTTTTGGATATGGGTTCACTTAAAGAGTCCTTCCTCAAGCTGTTGTTACTTACTTGTACCTTTGTTCTCTCATTTTGTCCTTTTGTTTGCCCTGTATTCTTGATTAGCAAGCAATTATTATTATTATTATAATAAAAATAAAGAAAAGAAGAACAAAAGGCAGAAGCCATGCCCAGAAACTGAAAAAAATTTGTATCATAATGCATAATCCAAGGAATATGTGTGATTTGGGTCCATTCTTAGGCTATAATAATTGATTCACCTTATTATAATAATAAGATCGTGATCATGTATTATAATGCCTTACCAAAGAATGTTCCATCATTCATTTTCTAAAGTACATCATATCTTGGGCGCAATTATCGATTCCCATTTCCTTTTAATTATCTTTAATTTTTTTATTTGTAGTGGTTAACACATTATTATTTATTAATTAAATTAGATATCAAGTAATCATATCATACCATACCACCTCTAATTTCATCTTCAAATATACAATTATTTGACGTCATAAAATTTGTTATAAAGTGATGGGAATATATGCTCTCTCGTGTCGTGTCAATAAAATAATAATAAATAGACTTCCTAGAAACCGCGTTATTTGGGCCCAATAAGCAAAGGCCTCAAAGGGGTCAACAAAATAATGACAAAAAAGAAAGTAATTTACAGGCATCAGGCATGCATCAATCAAGCACAGGATTAAAAAAGAGTCAGCTTAATTTGATTACTTAATTAATTAAATTTTGACCACTTAAAACTACCCTTTCCGTTTAGGGCCCACCCCAGCCCATTAACTTAAGGATATAACATTGTGGTTGTTCTGGCTGGTCAATGCTAGTCAAAAACTAAGTTTAAGTTAATTATTATTATTTTTCTTGGTATTTCGAGGTGTCTGGACCAGTTTACGTATACCTCATCTAATCTTTTGAGGCTCTAAAGTTAACGGTCAAATAAACCACCAATGATTATCCCTTATTAGTAGTCGTGTGGATTCGAACTCATGATCTCTTGAGTAATACACTCAAGAATCCCAAATAAACCGTCAAACTACCTAAAGATGGTTAATTAATTAAACTAAATTTAAAGTAAATCGAATTTACAATGGAGAAGTAAAGTTAAGGTAAATTTTATAAAATCTCAACCGCTAAGACTATTTGCTTTTCTTTTTACCAATAATGGTAGTACCTTCGTTTCTCAACATTGAATTGATAATAACCGCAAAAGATTAGGTGTGGGAATTCAAGTAATTATAATAATGACACCTTTTGATTGTACTTAACCAATTAATTTATGATAATACCAAAATCTTTTTACGGCCATTAACCTTGCCCTGAATATGCATCTTATCAATCATATTTACTGTCACAACAATAACTATAAACATAATATGAGCGAATAGAAATTTTAGATTATAAGTTTGACTTTTTTTTATTAACCAAATATGTTTTAAAGGAAAGATACTTTGCATATGAAAATTGTGATAGTTTCGGCGTGGTTTAGATGATTTTCAAGATACACACTATCTCAAATGCCAAAATATGATGTTATAACAAGTGAGATATTAGAGTAAGAGCTAACTTATTTGCATTTATGAAGACGTGTGACCCTTAAAAGGGTAGACTATAGCACTTAGATGCAACACTCATCAATGTAGATAACTATAACAACATATTACCGTCATGATTACTCTATTGAATCATGAGAGTTAGTAGAATTCAAACTTAAAACTATATGCCTTTAACTACATATTCTAGTTTTAGTCCTACCACTTGAACTACGTAGGGTGAGTCTTAGATGCAAGACTTTAATGCATAGAAATCTAAAAGGAGGATGGATAAAGTACAAACATAGTGTAAATAAATCCCATATCCTTGGTTAAATAGAGTCATTGGGCTACATATATTATAGACAATAAGGTATTTTGGGTAATTATAAAAATGTAATCCTATTATATTATTAACAATCAATCATTGATTATTCTCTTTCCCATATATATTTTTTTCTTTCTATTTGTATTATATTCTATTTGATCTCTTTATTTAGATCAAATTAAGATTTACTATTTTGTTACCAAATGAATATTCTCAAATTAAAAAAAAAAAAAAATTCTCATATATAGAAACTAGGATGATTTCTGTATAATAATTAATTAATTAATAAACAAAACTGATATACCTGTACAGAAAATGAAAAAGAAAGAAAAAAACAAATACAATATATCATGGAGACGATTTTGTCCTTATGCCTGCTCTAGTCCAGAGTGGATCATATAGAAACAATTCGGTGGGGAATATCCTCTGTTAATGAAATACAGACAACAATTTTCGTCCGTTAGATGTTTCACTGTCCTTGAAATCCGACGACCAAATCTCGTTGTCTGAAAAAACAGAGGCTTGATCGTCGTTGAAATGGAAAAGTGGCAAATTACGTAAATAAACATCTGGCAAGGTGTCGAGTTGCAACGACTGACTAACTTACTGACTGACTTCAATTAAAGCCAAAACAGAGTAGTTCACGCGTTTGTTTCGAGAGCGTGGAGTACAGACAGTCCGCGCGTAACACGTTTTCATTTTTTAAATGTTAAAAATAAAAAAATAAAAATGTCTTGCAAAATTTTGAAAAGTCAGTTGTACCGCAACGCTAGTATCAAGACTACAAACCTCGATGTTGTCCTGCGTTAAAAGTACACGGTGTATTTATTACATTTCCAACCCTGATGTTTGGTGTCAAACATTTCCCTTAAAAAATCACATTTTCTCTCTTGAATGACCCTTTTTTTTTTTTTTTTAGGTAATTGAGGTATCTAGGACAACTTGGGGTGAAAACCAAGCTCGAGCTCGACTCAACTTTGGCTTGAATTCGACTCGGTACTAATTGAGTCGAGTTCAAATAACTCAAATAATCCCAAGAATCGAGTTCAATCATTGTAAAAAAAGCTCGATTAAGCTCAAAAAGTTCGACTAAAACTTGATTAACTGAGCTTGAATTCAACTTTTAAGTACTGAGTTTGAGTTTAAACTCAAACTTGAACTCGGTATTGTAGCAATTGAGTTGAGTTCGAGTACTCAGATACTCAACTAGACTCGATTCGATTTCACCCCTAATCTAGGTCCATTGGAATTTGTCTAATCCTTAAGGCCACAGAATACCATATAAGTCCAACAGACCAAGATTATTGGCGAATGCGATAAGTACCTTTCCTACGACTCAAATACAAAATCTTTTGGGTATAAATAACATCAGTGGCCAAAGGGTTTGTCATCCGACCATAAGAGGAGTAATGACATTTTTACTCAGTTTTACATAAGGAGTAGAAAATACACATTTAATAGTTTCATTTTTCATATTTATTATATTGTTATACTTAATTTACAGAAACACATTTAAAATGACGCCAAAGTTAGGGGGTGACAATGAAATTAACTTGTTAGAACTTGTAAGAGAAGGGGGCGCATAAAAAAAGTGTTTGAGAGTGGAATAGTGCACATGCTCTTCACCTTTTACATACAAATACAGCTTTTAACATTTTTCCATTAAAGCCGTAAATTTCAAATAAATAAATATTTTGTTGTCAAAACTTTTCATATAAAAAAGAAAGTGGATTCTTGATTGCTGGGTATCTCTACAACAGTGGATGATTTATAGGTGAATATTGAATTACAGTGGTAAAGAGGAGTAGAAGTAAAACATATCTCAACAGTAATGGATCTGGACGAAGATTTTAGTGTGTCAGAATCCAATAAAAACGAAGATTGTGTACTAAGAAATTAATATATAATACCAAAGAAGAAAGAAAAAGAATTTCATATTATCAGCCAAGGGACCCCATTAAATCCAAACTACCAAGGATTTAGCAGTAGTTTAACATTGACATTAAAAAAGAAAAAAGAAAATAATTATAAATTATATTACATTACACCACATACCTGGAACGGCTTCACAAAAAAATTTAAGTGGAGCCGAGTTCTGACAAGTCCCACTTAAATTCCTCTGCAAAACCAATTAGTAAGAATTGTAGTGAGAGGGAGGGAGAGCGCGTGGGGATGGGGTGAAAGAAGAAAGGGGGAGAGGGCTTAAAAAGAGTAGTGAGCTGTGTGGGTCCCACCACCCATGTGCCCTCCTTCCTGTCTCCACCAGCTCCTGCCGCTCAATGATTAGCTCTCTGTTCCCTCTTCCCTTCTAAACCAAAAACCCTCTCTTTCTCTCTCTAACCCTAGCACCAACAACATCAACCTCCATTTTTTCAAACCTTTACTTTCTCTCTCTATCACCCCCCTTCTTCACTTTACTTTTACTTCCCTTACTCCTTCATGTCTAATTCCGACGCTGCCACTAACGGCGTTACTAACGGCGCTATTATTGACCCCCAGCGACAGCAGCCCCCCGGGAATGGCACTCTCGCCGTCAAGAAGCCTCCCTCCAAGGACCGTCACAGCAAAGTCGACGGTCGCGGTCGAAGAATCCGCATGCCCATCATTTGCGCCGCACGTGTCTTTCAGTTGACTCGTGAGCTCGGTCACAAATCCGACGGTCAGACCATCGAGTGGCTCCTCCGCCAAGCTGAGCCTTCCATCATAGCCGCTACCGGTACCGGGACCACCCCGGCTAGCTTCTCCACCGTCTCCGTGTCCGTGAGAGGCGGCGCGAATTCCACTTCGTTGACATCCACGGTTTCGTCTTCCGCTAGTTTCACCGCTTCCTTGGATCATAAGCCCTCGTCGATGAGTCCCACGCCCTTCATTCTCGGGAAACGGGTGAGGGCTGACGATGATGGGACCAAGGGTGGGGACGAAAATACAATCACTGCCGTGGGGCCCACGCCGGTGGGGTCGATTGTGGGGCCTGGTACTCCCGGTGCAGGGTTCTGGGCAGTGCCTGCCCGGCCGGATTTCTGGAGTTTCGCTGCTGCCGCCGCAGCGGCGCCGCCAGAGATGGTTGTGCAAGCGGCACAGCAACAACAGCCGCATCAACTGTTTATGCAACAGCAGGCTATGGGAGAAGCGTCGGCGGCCAGGGTCGGGAATTATCTTCCAGGTCATCTCAATTTGTTGGCATCTTTATCGGGTGGACCCGGGAGTTCGGGTCGGAGAGAAGACGATCCTCGTTGAATTTGGGTTGGAAATGGTCTGTCGGCGGTGTTGATATATATATAATCCTTATATATTTATATATAGATATGATGTGAATGTTTAATTGTTGTTTTCGTGTGTGTGAGATGAAGAGAGGATTTTTTTCTAGTTAATTTTAGGGTTAGGGATTAGGGTTTGGAGGAATTTGGGAAGCTTTAAGTATGGATTCAATTAGGGTTTTAGTGCTTTGTTTGATGATTAATTAGGGTTTTAGGGTTTAATTGTTTAGGTTTCCGGAGAAGGGGAGTGGAAATTTCAAGTCTCTGGCAAAACATTTGAAGGGATTTTCAGAAATAACGTTGTTATGCAAAGTCGTGTGGCTTATTTTTTTCAAGCTTGGAGACATCCTTCTACCTAGATGAGTAAATTGTATGTTGTTTTTTATTGTTTGCCAAATTAGTAGATGAAGATTGTACTATTTTGGTGTTGCAACACTATGCTTGCTGACTAGGGTTTGAAAAAATAAATGGGTGATTAAGCATGGTAATCAATAAGTTAAAAATTTGGGATTCTTTTTGGTATTGGGTGTCACCAAATTTGTTAGCATTTCCTTCTCTTCTATGGCAAATGAAATTTCTGAATTCCCTGGCTGCAATTTGGGCAATTTTTAGAGACGAGTGGTCGATGATTCTTCGATTTAATTTGATGTTTTGCCCATGAATACTTGATACAGAAGAACGGTTATATGATTTAGCATGGTTGCGGATGGCCTCTTCCTCTCTCTCTGTCTCTCCCAGTTTCACCGACATCTTTGCTCACTGGTGATTGGAAGCTGGTGTTCTATGTAAGACCTCTGCTTTGGAACTTAGCAGTATTAGTAGCAATTTCTTAGATTTTATGAGCTTGAAAAATAATGTGTTTTCCTTGTATGTAAGTGGATTGTTTTGGGGTGCCTGTTGTTTGAATAAAAGAAACCCATCTATTTCACATCATTCCTTCTTTGTTTCTCAGTCTCCCCCGTTCGCGAGTTATTGGTCTTTGTTCAGTGTAAATACTCTAATAACTTCAAAATCTGCAACACTTATTTTTCAATCTTTTTTATTTTGTATCTTCTCAGGAAAACTCTAATGTTAATGAGTCTCTCTGTTCTTTGCACTTGTGTTGGATTCTATGACTATGACACTCTTCTGGGGTTTTCTCAGCAAAATTATTATTACAAACTAATGGACAATCAACATTTTGAATTATTTGGCTTTGACGTTTTGGATTTTGTATCTGTACCCGATGTTAATGGCTGCCATGCCTGATTGAGATATCATAAAAATGGATTTCTTTTTTTTTTAATAAAGAAATGAGGAGAGATGGTATCTTGATTTGCTGGTGTCTTTTTGTTTGAAGTTGAGGTTTTGGTTTCTTAAATACACCCAGTTGGCATTAGATGAGATTGCCATGAAGTTTCATGGATGCTTTTCTGCCTTTCTCTTTCCTCTGCAGGACCTCTTCTCAATAACTCCAGAATTCAAGTGATTGGAAAATGAGCATCTTTTTACCATTTTTTTATGCCGACAGTGGAAACTGGAATCTGGGAGTTGGCAAACCGTTATAACACCACATTTCTAACCAATACGAAATTAGTCTTAATATTTAGAAATATATTGTTTGCAAGTTATTTCTTATTGTCAAAGGGAAACTAAATTAAAAAAAAAAAAAAAACCTTTTGATAGGTTCTTTTATTAGCAAGACTCTTTGAAATGCTCTTTAATTTTAGATAAATTTAGGGTACGTGGTTAAAGGAATGTTAGATTATTGGGATCTTATATTACCTTGAAGATTATTGAGAATCTTTAGGAAAATGTGTTTGGTTAGTTGGTGAGTATATTATATTAATATGTTTGGTTAGAGGGAATAAATTGGTGAATATGTTATTTAAATTACTAAATTATTATTTTTTAAATATTAATATAATATTATTTTTATTATTAATTTTTGAATAATTTTTAACCTCTAATATTTTAGATTTAGCTAAAACACTCCGTTTATACAAAACTTTAATATATGACAAAATCATCTCCACCTCTTGTTGTCGCCGCAAACCATCGTTGGAAGTCTTCTAAAGTTGCCATGAGTAGCTCATCGTGACCACGAGGCTCCAATATGGCCGGTCGTTTTTGGCCATATTGATGGCAAAAAAGACCATATCAGGCCAAATTTGGCCACTAATGGTCAGAGATCTAGCTGTTAACGGCCATATCTGGTTTGATATGGTCATTTTCAGCCATTAATATGGTCAGAAACGACCATATCGAAGCCTCCCAAAGCCTTCCAGCGGATCTCGGTCATTTTTAGGGACTTTGATGACTTTCTGGTGGTGGTCCGTGATGGTTGGCTTGCTGTCGGCGATGGTGGCTAGGTGACGGTAGTGGTCTGTAATTTGTTTTAAATATAAGGTTATTATTATCCAAAATCTTAATTAAACACAGGAAGAATTGAAACAAAAAATGCTATCCTTACAAAGACAATACAAAGAGAACTACAAAGTGACATCGAAGGAAAAAACAAAGAAAAAACGGAAAAAGAGGGAGATAGAGAGAGAAAAATTATGAAGATGAAGGGTGAAAATTGTCTTTTATGTCCTCTTTGTTTTTGTCTTTGTAAAACTAGTATTACTATGGTATATTAAGGTAAATTTATTTTAAAATAGGGGTATTATTGTCTAAATTTTTTATTAATAAGTGATAGAGTTATAACCAAAATAAGATTACCAAGATAATCTTACAATACCTAAGAAAATAAAGGTAATCAGATTACCTCTAATATTACCAACAATAATAATTATTGGTAATACAAGATTACTGAAATCTTATATTACTTGATATTCAAATATAGTAATCACAAGTAATATAAGGTGACATAACCCAATAATCTTTCATTGTCTGTAATCAAACGCCGCTTTGTATTCAAAAGGAGCCCAATTAATGAATGTAACGGGGGTGAATATTTAGTGCATTTTAAATGTGAATTACAGTAAGCAGAAGGGATCACAGGTGAATTTAAGTGATAATTAGTAAAAAAGCGTGAGTGTAGGAATTGAATCCAATGTTGATTTTGTACTTGGTTAGTTGGTTTCATATTAATTATTGAAAAACAAAGAGTCAGGGCTCAATAATTGATGGGTCCCCTGTATTAATTGGCCTGTTGAAAAAGTAGGGGTATGTATCTGATGATGTTCAATCGCATACGACAACTCAAACTCATTTACTCGTACATCAACCGACGCACTGTTTCCTTGATCAGGACCTTCACTTCGCTTCTGGGCTTGGGTTCGGCCTTCGCTAATGGGCTCAATTCCCTAAATGGTTTTGGTTTGAAAGCATTGCCAACAGGTGGAACAGAAACCAAATAATAAGAGTTGAGCTAGCAAAATATAACAAAGATTAAGCATGCATGTAATGAAATAAAATGGAACTTGGGTTTGGTAGCATGGCATTGGGTAATGAAGTGGGTCATTACTCATTTAAAGAATAATGGGACTGCATTTGTTCCCTTTCTTTTTTTTTTTTTAGAGGAAAATTGACATTCAAAAATGACCTATAATTGAATTATTAAAGGCAATTGACAATTGTTCCTTTTCAAAGACTTATAAGTATGTTTATGGAAAAAAGAAAAAAAAAAAAAAAAAGGTAATTTTAAAGTATAATAGATGTTTCATTTCTTAACTATTAAAACAGTGAAAATCTTGATAACTAACTAACTACTAAAGATTAAGGTTGGTTTGGGTTGAAGCTTGGATCTCGATTGCCGTTGGGCTTATCCTAATGTGTGGGCCTAATTATTAAGTGGTGTAAAGGTAATATTACTCTTATATAAATCCAAAATTTGAGTTAAAAAAAAAAAAAAAAAAAAGTGCCCCCATGCAGGATCGAACTACAGACCTTCAGTTTACAAGACTGACGCTCTACCACTGAGCTATAGGGGCTCGGACGTTCCTATAGTAACCATTAATAATATCTCTTTTATCAACATGATTTAAAGAGTCCGCTTTGCCAAGGGATGCTTATATCTAAAACGCCCCACAGTTTTGAAAAAGTATTAAGAAACCCCTGTTGTTTCATTGTAAGCTTGTAATGTATTGGATAACTTCAGTGCCCTTATGAATGGGCTGTAAAGATTGAAAAGTTACTAAGGGACGAAATATCAAAATTGCCCTTAATAGTGATGTAAGTATTAAAATATGAATATTTAATTTTTATTGACAAGAGTGATAACAATAGACTATCACACCACTTAAACTGAAAATGTAAATACCATTTTGCCCTTTCAAACAGAATCAATTAAATGCTTTGCTTGAATTGATTGGTTGTTTAATTAGTTTCTATATATGGGAATAATGCTACATTTGTAAATAAATCTTATAAAGTAATATGATAAAAAATGAATGAAAGAGTGAATATAATGAATTTGACTTTTCTATTCATTCTTTGCCGTTTCACTTTATATAAAAATCTTTATAAGATTTCTTTATAAATAAGATATTATTTCAATAAAAAAAACATAAGATTATTATCGATGGTCTTTTTTGTAAAAAGAAGCCCAATCAGATAATCAAATCATAATCACATAATTGAGGTCCCAATTGAGGTACAAAGCTGCAACGTTTTGGGTCTAAAGGTCTACTGTTTGGATCCCAAATAAAGCCCATAACATTTGCCAAATATAAGCCAACAACATCCTCAAGTCGGTAAGCTTTTGGTATGCTCTGACATGTAAGCCCAAGGCATTTTGTCATTCACTGAAATGTAAGCCGCGTAAGACATTCTAGCATTTGCTAACATGTACAACGTAAGATATTCTGGCATTCATTGACATGTAAGCGCAAGACATTTTAAAAGGTCTCTGACATATAAGCCCACTACCTTCTAAAAGCCCTTGACGTGTTGCTGTAGACCATTTTGGGAGATCTTTTCGTACTTTTACATTCATAATCTATTCTTTTTAACATATATGTTTTCACTAATGCTTGATCCCACACCTTTTCTTCTTAAACTTTGCTATTGGTCTTCTTTGGTGATGACTAGACTACAATTGTACCTCCTTTGAGTGAACTATTTTAAGGAGGTCGTGGGTTGGCTTGTCGTTACTCAAAAAGCGTGGTTACAGTTTGAGAAAAGGGTTGTAACGATCCACAATTAGGGCCAAGTTGATTGTGGACCCTTCTTAATTTGCAATCAATCACACTGTAAATTTTCAATTATTTTTTAATTTGTAGTAAATACAAGAAGACCACCAACAACTACAATCAAAATCATGTATTCTAAATAGGGTTGCAATCGAGTCGGGTATTGATAAGCTTTATCTGCAAATATCACTATATCAAATTGCAAATATCACTATCATATTGCTTCCTTTCTTTTTGCTCAGTAGAAGCGCCCAACCATTGTCTTTAGGGTTTTTTTATGACGAAAATTTTACAGTCTACCTTTGTGTGCAGGTAAAGTGTAGGGTTAAAAAAGTTAAAAAATTACTGATTTTTTTTTTTTTTTTAAGCTTTTGATGTAGAGCCGACGGTAGGATGTGCCGTGCCTAAAATTCAAAGTCCGTCGTGCTATGGGTCATGCCGTGCCAAGGCCTCCAAAAATTCGTGCCTTGTCATGTAGTGCCAACCCACCAAATTTGAAGGGTCACGGCGCGACCCGCTATATATTATGTCATGCCTTGGGCCGTGCTGTGGGATAGCCAACGTACTTTGTAAAAATATTTAATTTTAATATTTATAAATTACGGTAATTTTGATTTATTATTAATAATTATTATAAACATATTTTATATGTTATATTTAGTGATATTTTGTATTTATATTAATTAAAAATATATATAATCACTACGAAACATAATAAAATAATGAGACATTGAAATATTAATTAAACTTTTAACACTTTTTATTACTTATAAATTATAAATATAAACTTAGAAATTAGGATTAATAATTAGTATACATTTTTATTTTCATTAATTTTTAAAATTTGAAAATCTTAAAATATACCTTAGATGTAAACCTAAACCGATATTTTATTATTTATTATTTTTATTTTTCTTGTGTCGTATTGTATTGGCCCACGTGCCTTTTTTAAGGCCTACGACACAACCCGTATGATCGTGAACTATGTTGTGCTGTGCTTTTTCAGTGTCGTGCGTGCTGTGTCATGGCTGGCGCAGCCCATCGGCTCTATAATTTGATGTTTGGGTAAAATCAAAGTAGAACATCTTTTTAAATCTGCAATTACCATAAAACCCTTCAATGAATCAATCATCAATTGACTTCATCTGACTTAAGTGGACGGAGTTATAACGGCAGGGGTTTATTTTAATACATTTTCAAAACCCTGGGGGCGTCTAAGAATTAGACATCCCTCAAGGTTAAAGTCTTAAAGAGAAAGAGGCCAGGCCATTAAACGAAGTAAACAAACCAATACTAGTGACCTTGTGGGGGGTGGGGAGATCATCAGAGAGCAAAGAAGAAGAAGAAGAAGAAGATGGCGTCTTCGAAAGGAGGAGGCGTATTGAGAGTCGCAGACATGGAAAAGCTGAGCATAGAGCAACTGAAAGCTTTAAAAGAACAAACAGATCTTGAAGTTAATCTATTACAAGACAGCCTTAACAATATTCGAACCGCCACTTCTCGTCTCGAGATCGCTTCCACTGCTCTTCACGATCTTTCTCTTCGGCCCCAAGGTTTCTCTTTTTAATCTTCCTCTTCTGATTTAATTTATTTCATTAATTTCCCTCAATTCATCCGGGTTTTCTTTTGTTTTATTTTTCTCTAGGAAGTAAAATGCTGGTGCCTCTTACTGCATCGCTTTATGTTCCTGGCGAACTCGATGATGCTGATAAAGTCCTCGTTGATATTGGCACTGGTTACTTTGTTGAGGTCAGTTAAGGGATTTTTTTTTCTTTAGTTTATTTGCTTATAAACCTCTTGTTTATGCTAAATTTGTATTTTATGGTATGGGCTTTGTACAAGTAAGTTGTTTGGATCAGGGTTTTGATGGTAGTACCTATTACTTCAACGTGTTGTTGGGGTTCTTATTCTTATGAAGGAAATTTCTAACTTGCATTTGGTTGCCATTTGGAATGGTTAAGAAGCCCGTTATCCTTTTTAAAGAGTTTCTCTTACTCTGAGCCGCTTCCCAGCATCGGGTGGAGAATGGCATTTACAAAATAGAAAAACAAAATTAACACAAATTTGAATTACTAGTTTATAATTTTATAGGTAGCGTTGAATGGTATGTTTCTTGTTGTCTAATTAAGATGTTGGTAAACCTCCATAAGGACATTTCATGAGATGTTATTTCTCATAAATATGATAGCTACCAAGATTTTTTGGTTTTAGTCCCTAGTTTCTAACCCTTCGATGCGCGAAAGATTTATGGGTAAAAAAAAAAGAGGTTGCTAATAAAAGAGAAATGCTATTACACCTTTGTCTTTTTATAAGAGAGTATTGTACATGCCATTATTGATGAAGAATAAGCCAAGGATTATAGAGGAGTTTCAAGCTGCTCCTGCATATGCAGTCTAATCACTTTTAAATTAAGATTAAGAGGTTAAAAGGTGTAGTTTTCTGGAGATAATCTTGCTGTAGGTTAAAAGGTATTTATTTTAAAAGAAACATTAAATGTTTGTATTCAGCTGCAGTTATTATGATTATTATTATTATTTCTTTAAATTTCAATAAGGAGGATCCATGACCCCTTTTTGAGGCCATCGCAATTCCTAAACCCTCCTTATAAGAACAATGTATCAGGTTACTCCTGTACACAAGAATATACCAGTCTCATTCCATTGTAACATACTTGATCCATTGATGTAGTGCCACAAGCTGTTGTAGTAGTACATGGCATCTATTAGAAATTTTATTAGCATTAAAAAATAGGATATACTGGCATTGGCTTTGTTAGGTAGTAAAAGTGATGAAGAAAGGGGTATGAGGGATGCGATAGGGTAGGTCTTTGTTTTGATTATTTTCTTGCAACAAAATTTGAAAACCATGAGCACATGCATGTTTTTTGTGGAGTTTTTCTTATGAATTTTTTGGCTGGTTACTTTATATACCTATTGATATAAATTGTGCCAAGTAGATTCCAAATTTAGCTATATGAGTCAAATTTGTCCCTGAATTTTTGCTGTTTATTACAATTATTATAGGCTATTTTCGACCATGAGTTCTATCTGTATTTATTAGCTGATTGCTTGATGTCTCTCTAAAAAGGTCTCTATGGGGAGACTTGAAATTATCATATATTGTAAACTTGTCTAAAGTTTATTGTTGGGACAAGAGGATACATATTATTTTAGGCAAATTATTGAACTAGATAGATCGTAATTGGCTCCAGAAAATTTGAGGCCTGGGCAAAAATTTCAAATCAGCATTTCATCTTTAATAGGAATAAAAATTGTTATTTAAATAAAAAACATGGTTTTTCTGTATCTAGAATTGCAATATTTTCTTGTGATTATCATGTGACGATCTTATTGACATTTGTTGACTTATCATGAGAAAGAGATGGAACAAAAAAAAAACAAGGTGCAGAAAATGCAGCTTTTGACTCACCCCTTTAACTTACTAATTCATGCATCTCATTCTTGATTGCTGATTTTCTTGATTTCAGAAAACCATGGCTGAAGGCAAAGATTATTGTGAGCGTAAAATAAACTTGCTGAAATCTAATTTTGACCAGCTTATTGAGGTACGTGTCCCTGATAGTCTTGTGCTACTTTCCACTATTAGAAGAGTAGCATGATCTTGATGATATTATTATTATCATTGAGTATTTCTTCTGCTAGAGAATACAATCAGTGTTAAACCTTCATTTCTAGGTATTCATAACGGAGAGATTCTTTTTTGTATGATAAGAGTTTCTTCTCTTTTCAACTCAAACACTTCTTTTCTGGGCTGGATTGCTTCTTAGAACAGTAATCGGCTTAGAATATCACTGCTATAGCATTTGATGGTTTGGATTTTCTTTTCCTTGATAAGTTTGTGAAATGAAACTTTTTTTTTTTAATGATTTCTTACACCATGAAATATAGGTGGCAAAATGAAAAGCATGTTCAGAAACCATCCTGTTTTTGGTTTTTTGCTTCATGCCCGGAAATGGTACAAAGCTTGCAACTTTTGAACAAATCCATATATGCTTTTATTTGCTACAGAAGACTTGAAAGTCTTTAACTTCAAAATATCATCTGCTCATTTGTAGATACCTCCAAACTAGGTGTCAAGCCTTTTTGGCTTTGCATTGAGGGCTTTCTTTTGGAGGTGGTCTTCAACTAGTTGATCAAAATCCTATCAATAACAAACTGAAATAGGAAAAATGAAAATGTTTTAACCCATTAGCCTCACTTCCTCCCATATTTTTCTCAGTACAAATTCCCTTGGAACATTTTTTCTTCTCCCTGTTCCTATTTTTTTGGTGGGTCCGTGTTTATTGTCATTTATAAACAGTCAGATAAATAATGAAAGAATGTTTATTTTTAAGACTCAAAAAGATTGAGAAATCTAACATTTTTTGTTTTAAAACTACTTTACCTGGTCCTTTGATATTACAGCTTCTGTAAGCATTATTTTTTTTTTTTTTTTCGGTTTCCTTTACTTTTCAATCCTTCCTTTGTATTATCTTCTCTTGTGTGACAGAAATCTAAAATTGAAAATGCAGGTTGCAACGAAAAAGAAAAATATTGCAGATGATGCTACAGTAGTCTTACAGGCGAAACTAAAGCAATTAGCCCCTGCAACTTCTTGATTGCTCTAAGATTTTACTAAATTATTGTTGCAGTGTCTTCAGCAAAAGAAGTGCTTTCTATAACTTTCAATTTGAAACTTTTAAGGTTTTTGATCTGCTTAACAAGTGATCTTAGCTCTAGCGTATTCAGTTGTTTCACTCAGCGTTTGGTGAGGGCTTTCTCACTTGAAATCAAACCAGATTTGGATTGTGGTGACAATATTCAGATAGGTACATGTTGTGATATTTTGGGTGGCCGTTTTATTTGTTTTTCAATCAGCTGTACTTAAGAGGATTCATATATGTTCCTTGAGAGTTTATTTCCTTGACCCAACAGAAGTAGTTATATAATTTTATTTGTTTCTTGTCGCAATTTATGGTAGTATCAAAAGCAATGCTTTTACATTGAAACATTGACTTTATCAAACTCAGTTGGATTAAATATTGATTTGAATTGGAAAATTTATTTAAATTATCCAATTTAAGAGAATTGAAAATTTAACCCCACGTCTGTTCTATCCAATCTGATCTTGGGTTGAAATTTAATTTGATCGAATTCAATTTAAGAGAACTGAAATTCAACTCAATCCCATTCCAATTGAATTGATTTGGATGGAGCAAATTACCTTCATCTGACATGAACAGAGTAAATTGATATGTTTTTCTCTTAGTAGGTGAAATCCATTGTAGTTGAAGTGGAATCTTTTGCCTCTTTTAAATTAGTGGACAATATTAGGTGGTAAAAGATGATTGGGTGAGAGTGTAATTTTAACCTAATTATCTTTTACCATATAACGTTGTATATGTAGTATTATTTCTTTTAAATACTAATGTTCTTTCAGTTTTGGGTGAAATTTCAAATGAACTTTATTATCAGATTCAAATAAATTAGATTTTAATATATTGTTTTGAATTTGATCAATCAAATGAACTGATTGAATTATAGGTTTTCAATGTGTTGAGTATCGTTAGGATCAAAGCAAACCAATTAGAAGTTTCAGAATTTCAAATATACTAGGCCTTGAATGTTACAGTTTTGTTTGATTTCTCTGAACCAACCTGGAAAAAAACCAGCAGTTACCTTTAGTTTTTAGTTAATGCAGTGGCCGACCAAAGTGGCTTGTGATCTTTATTAGGTTATATGCATTTATATCAGTTCCCCATAAAAAATGAAGAGGTCAAATATACACCAGAACTTGCTTTGAAAATAAGCAGACTTGGGCAATTATTGAACCTTTAACCCGCGAAGTTGAGGTAGGTCTCAGAATATACAGGAATTACTTTTAGGTTATGGCAACATCACAAGAAGCAAACATAGATACTGAGAGGTATTTATTGCAAATACAGATGAGATTTGGGAGAGTCATGTAGATCTCTGATTCTTGCTCTAAGTTTACAGCCGTGTGATGAACATTGGTTCCAGACTCTTGTATGTCTTGTTTTCCCGAAGTCTTTGAAAATATGAAATCCTTAATCCTTTCTTCCTGGCAATATCAGAGCGCACCCAACTTGAATAGTTGTGTGGAGCACCACTGACTATTACAGACGTGTTCTCGTTAGCCAAATTACCCAGAGCTATCATTGTCTCTGGTTCAGTTGCTGATGAATCATCAACAAGAAAAATATGACTGAAATGTCCAGCAGTTATGCCTTCATTATGAAGCCGAGAGCTGCTCACAAAAGTAGAAAATATGACCCTGAATTGCCGCAGTTTCTGAACAGAAGGACAAGAAAAGCACTCCCCTTCGTAAAGACACAAAGGGAGGATGTCAACTGGTACCCCATCTACCTCTCTAAATGCAGCGTTGGCTCGAAACATATCTGACTCTGGAATCTCCTTCCTCAAACTTCTGATTAGCACATCACATGTTCTGTTTATTGGAGCACATATAAGAATTCGATTCCTAGGTGAGCTCCGATAAATTTGGAGTACTGCTTCTCGAACAACAATTCCAGTTTTGGATAGTAGTTGAGACTCAGTTACAGAAAGTGGACCCTCAAGGAGATATGGTGGGGAGCCTTGAAAGTTTAAGATGTGATGAACTGCAGAAGTTTGATCCGAACCAAGTTTATAATTGCGATAAAGATTTGGTGGTGATGGGGGGTTATTCTTCCGGGACGCACCGTCAGGAAAAAGATAGTTGTGGGATAAAGGATCAGATGCAGCTGCTATTGCTTGGTGAGCCCTTTTCAAACACACTCTGTTGAATGAGAAGCTAATATCATATTTGCGTTCCGAATGATGCTGAGAATAAAAATCTTCTTCAAATTCAACCAGCACAATGTTGCTCTTCACCACACGATAAATTAATCCCTGCTCCAAATTAGACAACAATAGTAATCTGAAAATGATTAAGATATGAAACCAGAAACTACATGAGGAGGACACTTACTTGAAACTGCTTGACAGTGCTGCCTAAACGTCGTGCATAGACGAAGTCCCTGGCCAAAAGGAAGGGTCGTCTCTCCGGAACAGAATCAACCTCAAAGGCTACAAACATTTTATCTTGTTTTTCATCATTCCCTTTCAACTTCTCGTTTTTGGGTGGCTTGTTATATATTGTTGCTTTATGAAACTTCAATGTTACGCTGAACAACTTAAACTCGCTCCACTTCTGAACAAATTAAAGGGCACAATTAGAAAGTCTAAAATTAATCAGAATGAGAGAGAGAGAGAGAGAGAGAGAGAGAGAGAGATAAAATTATTAGTATAAAACAGCAAATATGAAATAGCGTCGTTCATTTATCACCTCAGTGTAGAAATCCTCGGCGTATAGCAAGGCAGCGAAGTAATCCTTATAGGTTGTTGGAGACAATGGCTTCTTCAGAACGTCAGGCACAATGTCTTTCTGGATCAAATTTTCAATGTTCTTGGGAATCATATAAATTGGTGATGTGGCCTTTTGAGTCACTGTATAATTAGCTTGAGTATGCTGATTTGTTGAATGAATGGGGAGTGCAGAGAGAGTTGGCTTAGAGGATGGAGGAGCCTGCCGGGAAGGTGATTGTGATAATAGAGGTTGATCAGAAGATAAAGACTTCCCAAAAGAGGATGATGAAGATGCTATAGAGGAAGAAGGTATTGCAGGTTTAGGAAGTGGCGATGATTGTGCAACAGACTTGGGGGTTTTTGCAGCTGAAGATAATGAATTAGTAGCAGTTGATGTGTGTTTAGCTGAAGATTTAGACACTTCGGGAGCCCTTCTCAGATTTGATTGAAGAGATGCAGCATTAGGCTCTTTTGCAGTTGAGTTACTGATTGATAAATTTGGGTAATCTTCGTAGCAGTAAATTATGGTTGGATCAGGTTGGCGTAGCAGATCATTGCAAATTGGAGAAGAACCCACCTTCACAGAAGAAAGTGGTTTAGAAGAATGTGAAGTGGAATTAGAGAATGATGAATATGGTTTAGAAGATGATACAGAAGGATTAAATGAAGGCGGAGTCTGTTTAGCTAAAGAGGAGCTGCTTAAAGTTTGATAATAAATTTTGGGATCAGATTGGCCTTGAAGATGATTACAACTACGAGCAGAATTGCTCCTAACAGAAATGTCATAAGAAGCTGACTGAAGAAAAGGGTCTCTTTGAGAAGTCTCGTCATAATCCCCATGATGAAATTCGTCATCGCAACAAAGAATGCATCGCAAAATTTCAAGAAACACAGACATGTTTTTTCTGCAATCAACAAACAGGCATTTATACATCTGATTTTTTCCTTCATTTAGTTGTTCAGAAAAGTAACAGTAAAAGTCTGATTTTTAAACTCCACAGTTATTTGTTTTATCAAAATGAAAATTTCAACTCCACCAAGTTCAGACAAAACATGTAATTCATCTTATCTCCTGGAGAAAAATACAGAGAGTGATAACTTAAACCCCTAAAGTTTGGATGATGAGAGAACTAAAGCTCAACAATTAATACTTGAGCAACTTAAACTAAGGGAAAATACAACATAAATGTACTCTTCTTTCTCTTATAGAATCAAAAAACTGAACAATCTAAAGAACAAAAGACACGCATCATGATGATATGAACACTGAAACAGTAAAGATTGAACTTTACCAAACACTCGCCAACCATGACTGGTGTAAAGAAGAAAAAACTATGAAAAGTAAATTAATATTATAAAAAGAAACGAGACTTACTTATATGGTTAGAGGCAGATGGGATCTGTGATGAACCATTTGTTAAAAGAAACAGGAAAATGTATAAAGCTTTTGTAAAGATGAAGATGAATATGGCATGACTAATAAATATACGCATTTTTCTTCCTTCCATATAAAGCAACCAACTCAGAGTGTTACCACGTCATCAACAGTGAGAATATGACGTGGAATTTAGGACTAACGTTGACAGTAATTGTAAGCGCGCTGACCAAATACAGCTTTTTCCACACGTCAACGTGGCTTATTTTTCCTAACTCGCATGGAATTATTATTTTTTTAGCTCATTAATATTTTGTAAGTGTTGAGGGGGGTGTTTGGACTAGCTTGTGCATACTTTAATTAATATTCGTGATCTATTAAATATTTTATAAGTCTAAAGGACCAGATAAGTTATAGTGTTATTGTGGTATGTAACTCTAAGTTTTAAACCTAATAATTCAATGAAAGGAGCAAACTTTCTTGATCGTCAGACCAATCCCTTGGATATATTTTTATTTTGGTTATTGGGGTGTTTGGGCTTACTTGTACACATCTCAATTAATCTATAGAGTCTATTGAATATCAGACAAGCCCAAAATATCAGGTAAGTCATAATGCTATTGTGGTAGGTGGCCCCAATGTTTGAATCCAAGAACTTAAGGAAGAGAGCAAACATCTTTGACTGTCAGGCTAACCCCTTGTGGTTCAGAATATCATTTATCTCCTTTGTGGCTCGATAAATACCAATAAAGCCCCTATTTTAAAGATTTTTTTTTTTTTTTTGGAGAGGTCCCTATTTTAAAGATTCTTGTGGACTTAAGTGATTTTGCCATAATGAAATTCAAACAAGGCTGTTTTTATTTTGGGATAAAACGAATGGTTTTATTGTTTACTACTTACTAGGGTTCTTAAAACGACACCTTTTAGTTTTCCATTGAGTCGTTTCAGTGGTATCCAAACGACATGTCGATTCTTTTTGAATGGCAGATTGTTTGTTTTGTAGAATATTTGCTAAAAAGTATGGAAATATATTGAAGCTTGTGAAACTATGATTCGTAGGAGACCTAAGTTATATTTACCAATTTCTTTGAGGTTAAGAATGACTAGCCGTAAACGAACTTTTTTTTTTTTTTTTAAACAATCGACATTCCGTTGATCAATCGACCTATTATACATTCTACTATGAATGTTGGTAACTCCCCATTTTTCTTCGTATTACTAAAAAGGCCCCTAGTTTTTTTATTCTTAGTGTACATAAATAAAAATTTACTCGTTGGAAATGGAATCCTTCTTCCATTATTAAAATGAATATCTTAACTAAGCTTAGCAATGTAATGCATTGTTGACGTTTGATTTTGGATGCCAACGACTCGCACGTGAGAAGCGCTAAGCGGACATAGGAATCACACGTGATGGATCCATGAGATTTGAATATGAAGCTGAGATTATATATGTTGCAGAAAACATAAATAAAAGATTGGCAAGAGGGGTTTTTATAGTGGTTCGGATGCAACAAGTGACTCCTACATCCACTGTTATTTTATTGATCTCTGACTATTTCTATGATATTGCCCATAAGACATACAAAGATGAAGAAATATAGTGTTTACAGAGAGAGAATGAAATGAAGCTCAAATCTCAACCCAGCCTCCTTCTTCGGGAAGAGGAGTGCCCATTTATACACCTAAACACTTAATGTAATGAGTGTTTTGCAAGTTGCCTTGACACATGGAAGGCTCTCATCCATTCATCTCTTTGAAATGAGATAAAGTTGGTGTGAATATTTTTGAGGAGATATGAGCTTGACAGCACATTTATTAGGCTGACATAAGCGTGACTTTTGAGACATAACAGAAGCCCCCCAGTTTTTGAAGTGCGTAATCGCGCTTCAGAAACTAAAGTCTTTGATCTGAATGGCTGTAGTCTCGAACTGAAGACCTCGAACTGAAATCCGTTAGGAGTATGACCTGAAATCTGTTAGGAAAACGACCTGAAATCTGTTAGGAGCTCGACCTAAAATCTGTTAGGAAAATGACCTGAAATTTGTTAGGAAAATGACCTGAAATCTGTTAGGAGCTCGAGCTGAAATCTATTAGGAAAACGACCTGAAATCTGTTAGGAAAATGACCTGAAATCTGTTAGGAGCTCGACCTGAAATCTGCTAGGAGCACGACTTGAAATCTGCTAGGAGCACGACCTGAAAGGTCATAACGAGCTTAATCTAAGCAAAACGAGCTCAACTTGAGAGCAAAACGAGCTCAATCTTATTCTATTCAACTCAAAATATTTAACAATTACATTTCTTAATAAAAGTTTATAAATTAACAAAAACACCACTATCCACCCAAGCAACAGTCACCCGCCAACACTAGCACCACCACCAATCACTGTCGCTGCCATTGCCAGCACTAGAATGACATATGATTGGTCAGATCTGACCAATTGTGTGCCGATCTAGATATTTTTGGCTAGATCTACGGTCAGAGATCTGGCCGTTGATGGTGGCTAGATTTTGGCCGTTAATGACAGCCAGAAAAGATTATGGTCGTAGAGATCTAGCCGTTGACAATGACTATATCTTGACCGTCAACTTTGGCCATTAACGAAAGGCAGATTATTGCCGTAGATCTAGCCGTTTCTGACCAAATACACGGTGGATTTGGCCAGAAAAGGCCAGATGGTTGTGCTCCATTTTGGCAACTGTCAACCATGGTTTGACGGTGGTGGTTGGCTGCTGGTAGTCGGTTGGTTGGGTGGATGGGGTGTTTTTGTTAATTTATAAACTTTTATTATGGAGGGTGTTTAGCTAAATTAACAAATGTAGGGGGTTAAAAATTAATCTAAATATTTTCAGAAAATGTTTTCTAAAAATGTACCAGACACATTCTCAGAATCTTATCCTATTTGATTAAATCTTATCCTATCATATTCATAATATAATATTATTTCAAATAATGTACCAAACAGGCCCTATGTTTTAATATTTTGTAAGCGCGTTGACAAGGTGTTCGGGCTAGCTTATGCACACTTCAATTAATATTCGTGGTATATTAAAATACCCTACAAGCCCAAAGGACCAGATAAGCCACGGTGTTATTGTAGTAGATAGCTCCAAGATTTGAACCCAATAATTCAATGAAAGGAATAAACCTTCTTGACTATCAGACCAATCCCTTGGAGTTATTTTATTTTTTATTTTGGTTACTAGAATGTCTAGGCCAGTTTGTGTGCACCTCAGCTAATCTTTGAGGTCTATTGAACACCATATAAGCCCAAAAGACGAGGTAAACCACAATATTTTTCTGGTAGGTGACGTCAAGGTTTAAACCCAAGAATTTAACTAAGGGAGCAAACATCCTTAACTGTTGGACCAATCCTTTATGGTTCAGAATATCATTTATCTCCTTTGTGGCTCAATAAATACCAATAAAGCCCCCATTTTAAGGATTTTTGTGGACTTAAGTGATTTTGCCATGATGAAATTTAAGCGACACTGTTTTTATTTTGGGATAAAACAAATGGTTTTATTGTTTACTAGAGTTCTTAAAACGACACCTTTTAGTTTTCCATTGAGTCGTTTCAGTGGTATCCAAACGACATGTCAATTCTTTTTTAATGGCAGATTGTTTGTTTTATAAAATATTTGCTAAAAAGTATGGAAATATGTTGAAGCTTGTGAATCTATGATTCGTAGGAGACCTAAGTTATATTTACCAAATTCTTTGAGGTTAAGAACGACTAGTCGTAAACTGGCATTTTACTATTTTAGGGTTTGGTTTTTTTTTTTTTTTTTTTTTTTTTTTTTTTAACAAACGACATTTCGTTGATCAATCTACCTGTCATACGTTCTACTATGAATATCATTAACTCCCCATTTTTCTTCGTACTATCAAAAAGGCCCCTAGTTTTTTTTATTTTTATTGTACGTAAATAACATTTACTCGTTGGAAATGGAATCCTCCTTCCATTCTTAAAATGAATATCTTAACTAAGCTTAGCAATGTAATGTATACTAAAATTTTATATTATTAATTAATACAAATATCGAATTGATCATATAAAATAATTGGATTTCTGGCTGAGATTCTGAGTCGATGAGGTTGGTAAACCCTGACAGAGTTTTCCATTTGAATCAAGGTGGTAATCATATGAAAGAATATTCTTTCTCGAATGAATGAAGGGCCGAATGCAGCTGCTACAATTAGAGAAAGAGAAACTGATGTCATATCATATTTGCGGTTTCTTCAAATTCAACTAATACAATACTGTTCTTAATTAGAGCACCTGCTCCTTAAATTTGAAATTTTGACTAGAATTTGTCAAACCTACACAATTTTGGTCATTCATGCACGCATAACTCTGAAATTTATTTACCATGTCCAGTTTGAATCGCTGCATCTTCAATAAATTTCACTTTTATAGCTTCTTTTGAGCTTAACTAATTAAAAAAAAAAAAACAGTTTACTTTTTTCGCCGCATCTTTGCTTACTGATTAAATTTCAAAGAGCAATTTTTCCAATCTCCAAACTCTTAATGAATTTCCTCCATATTCAGATTACGAACTCTGATTTGAGACCCCCATCTTATATGAGATACATGAGAGTTTAACAAGGATTTTTTACCTTTACTTTGTATACGGAGTTGCTCAAATTTTGTGTATAAATTAATTTTTGTCAATGCTCTATATCAGATTAATCAGTCGTCCCTGGAACACAGGAAATGCATATAGCAACAGATACAAAATCAGCTTACCCAGGATCCTAACATTAGCAGCAACACAGTTTAATAAAATAGCGGTTGCTGTTATCGTGTTTGTTGGTTTTACTGGAGAGTGATGAAGAAAAGATATTAAGCAAAGGAGAAAGATATTAAGCAAAGGAGAAAGAGACGACAGCATGAATATGTGCTCTGCTTTTCATTCATAATACTGGGGAAATATACACGCAAACCAGTTCACTGTTACACCTAATGCAGTGGATATTTTTACAAATTTGAGTTTGAACTAAATTACATTCAACTAATACAAGATCAAGTCATTCAAATACACCACTTAACCACTGCAGGTTTCAACTAAACCTGTCACAAATTACATT